GTTGGGATTGTTTTCACTGGAGTTCAGATCAATGAGGGGGAATCTCATACAGACTTATATAATTCTAACTGGACGAGACAGGGTAGGTGCAGGGAGGATGTTCCCGATGGTGGGTGTGTCCAGAACCAGGGGTCACATTCTGAGGATTTGGGGTAGACAATTTAAGACAGAGATGAGGAGACATTTCTTCACCCAAAGAGTGGTGAGCCTGTGGAATTCGTTACCACAGGAAGTAGTTGATGTCAAAACATTGAACGTATTCAAGATGCGACTGGATATAGCACTTGGGGTGAATGGGATCAAAAGGTAATGGGGAGAAAGCAGGATTAGGCTATTGAGTTGGATGATTAGCCGTGATCACAGAAAGAATGGTGGAGCAGGCCCAAAGGGTTGAATGGTCTCCTACTGCTCCTATCTTCTACGTTTCTATGTTTCAATGTTTGTAGTGGAGCTCTCCAGGGTTCTATATTGAGACCCTTGTTTTTCCTGATATATACTAATGATCTAGTTCTTGATATGCAGTGGACAACTTCAAAGTCTGCAGATGATGCTAAACATGCAAGAATTTTATGAAGTGTGAGGACAACAGTGTGGAACTTCAAAAGGACATTGACAAGTTGATGGAGTGGGCAGATATGTGGCAGGTGAAGTGCAATGCAGAGATGAAGTATAATTCAGAAGAACACTGAAAGACAATCTAAAAAGAATGTGCAGGAGCAGAGGGCCTTGGATGTACACGTTAACATCATTGATGGCGGCAGGACAGGTAGGGATAGCAGAAAACAAAAGCATACAATATTCTTGGCTTTACTAATAGGGGGATAGAGTCCAAAAGCAGGTGGTGAAACTGAACTTGTACCAAACATTGGTCAGATTAATGCGTATAGCTGTGAGTGCGACATCATAGGAAAGATGCACATGCATTGGAAAGAGTGCAGAAGTGATTTACAAGAGTGGTTCCAGCAATGTGAAGCTTCAGCTATGAAGACAGAATGAAGAGACTAGAGCTGTTTTTCTTGGAGATATCTGATTCAGATTTTCAACATCATGAACAGGCTGGATACAGTAGATAGGGAGAAGCTGTTCCCACTCAAAAGAACAAGAATGAGGGGGCATAGATTTAAAGTGATGTGCAAACAAAACGAGGGTGTTGTGAGTAAAAAAAAAATTTTCCAACAGTGAATGTTAGAGTATGAAATGCACTGGAGGGACGGTCAACTGAGGTATTCAGAAGAGCATTAGTTTCTCGGATAGTATAATGGTGTGTAAAACAAAGACGGGAGAATGCAGTAAATAATTGAGCCGGTGCAGGTAGAGAAGGGCTGAACAGCCTCCTTCTGCACTGTAATAATTCTGTGATTCACCTGCCACTGCAGGCTCTTTGTACTCTGGGTAACTCATTAACTACCCCTCTCCGTGATCCTCCAGAACGTCTCATGGACCAAGGGCTTTTTCTTAAAAAAAATAGATTATTTGCTTAAACGGTACCATTAGTAAGGCCTTCAACTACTGTCAATTCCAACAGAAGCGTGGGAGGACTGACATTAATGTCAATCAAAAGTAATCAATTGAGAAGGCCCTTCAAATTCTACCATCTCCATGAATCTAAATTCCTTCCATATTGATGGATCCAAATGGTCTAAAACGTTATTAAAAATTACCACGCAAAGATCACAATGAAGGCATCACAATATAATTCAATGACATTAAGTAAACGAAAATCAAAATTAAACAACCCGTTAGCTTCTTTTTCTAAAAAGCACCAATTGGTGAGATTTCTCTATAATTCTACTCTTTTTCTTTTTGCATTTATTTTACTATTTGCTTTATGTTAGAAAACTAACGAAAAGAATTTGTTGAAAATCCAATAAACTCTTGTCAGGCATCGCAGTAACAGATTCCTGTTTTTGGAAAGATGAACTTATGGAAGCCACGATGCAGGAAAATCCCTCTAAAGGACTGGATGAAAAAGATTGGACATTTTCAATGTCTTTTAATGTTGATAGAATCCAAACTGTAGAAAAACGTCTACTGATTCATCACAATCTCACCAAACATCGCAACTTGGAATTTCTTTTTTTTGGAAATATGTGTGATATTATTTCCTTTCTCACAGGTCTCTTCCTATCTGCTAGAGTTCCTGCCATTCAGTAAGATCACAGCTGATCTGATTATTCCACATTTCTGTCTAGCCTCGATAACATGTCACCACCTTGCCCAACAAGAAGCCATGTTCCTCTGCTTTAAAAATATTTGAGTACTCTGCTTTCATCGTCTTAGGGTGGAACAGTGGCTCAGTGGTGAGCATTGTGGCCTCGCAATGCCAGGGACCTGCATTCAATTCTACCTTCGGGTGACTGTGTGGAGTTCGCACATTCTCTCAGTGTCTGCGTGGGTTTCCTCCCACAGTCCAAAAATGTGCAGGTTAGGTGGATTGCCCATAGTCTTCAGGAATGTGCAGGCAAGGGATCAGCCATGAGAAATGCAGATTTTACAGTGGTGGGGGGCGGGGAGAGAGAGGTGGTGATTCTGGCTGGGATGCTCTTCGGAGAGTCGAAGTGGACTCAATGGCCTGCTTCCATACTGTACAGATTCTAATATTCTTTTGGAGAGTGCTAACTACCCCACTTTACCATGAGAGTGTATAAATCCCTCTTATGGGCCGGGGCTTATTTTTTGCACTTGAATGTTTGGTTAAGACA